GATGACAATTCCTCGTCGTAGAGCCTCGACTCCGGCTGAGACGACATCTATATTTCCTCGCGGTAGAGCCTTGACTCCGGCCGAGACGACATTTATATTTCTCGACTCTGGCTGAGACGACATCTATATTTCCTCGTCGTAGAACCTCAACTCCGACTGAGACGACATTTATATTTCTTCGCCGTAGAGCCTCGACTCTGACTGAGACAACATCTATATTTTCTCGTTGTAGAGCCTCGACTCCGGCCGAGATGACATCTATATTTCCTCGCCATAAATCCTCGATTCCGGTTGAGCTGACATCTACATTTCCTCGCCGTAGAGCCTCGACTCCGGCTGAGACGACATCTGTATTTCCTCGCCGTAGAGTCTCGACTATGACTGAGACGACATTTATATTTCCTCGTCGTAGAGCATCGAATCTGGCTAAGACGACATATATATTTCCTCGTCGTACAACCTCGACTCCAGCTAAGACGACATCTATATTTCCTCGTCGTACAGCCTCGACTCTGGCTGAGACGACATCTATATTTCCTCGCCGTAGAGCCTCGACTCTGGCCGAGAGGACATCTATATTTCCTCGCCGCAGAGCCTCGACTCCAGCTGAGACGACATCTATATTTCCTTATCGTAGAGCCTCGACTCCGGCTGAGACGACATCTACATTTCTTCACCATAGAGCCTCGACTCTGATTGAGACAACATCTATATTTTCTAGCTCTAGTGCCTCGACTCCGTCCGAGCTGACATCTATATTTCCTCGCCGTAGAGCTCGACTCCGGCTGAGACGACATCTATATTTCCACGTCGTAGAGCATCGACTCCAGCTGAGACGACATCTATATTTCCTCGCCGTAGAGCATCGACTCCGACTGAGACGACATCTATATTTCCTCGTCGTAGAGCCTCGACTCCTGCTGAGATGACATCTATATTTCCTCGCCGTAGAGCCTCGACTCTAGCCGAGAGGACTCTATATTTCCTTGTCGTAGAGCCTCGACTTCGGCTGAGACGACATCTATATTTCCTCGTCGTAGAGCCCCGACTCCGGCTGAGCCTAGGAGCCAAGAGGCCACAATGCCATAATACTAAAGGCCTACGAGCCACGAAAAACTAATGAGACCCCGTTAGGGTAAAACGACCCCATTAGGGTAAAACGACCGGACAACATAGATTTGTTCGACGTAAATTTACGAGACCCCACTAGGGTAAAACGAACGGACAATATAAATTTGTCTGGCGTAAATTCACGAGACCCCATTAGGGTAAAACGACCAGACAACATAAATTTGTCTGACGCAAATTCACGAGACCCCATTAGTGTAATAGACCAGGTGACGTGAATTTATCCGGCATAAACCAAAAAGACCCTGAAAGGGCAAGAGGACGTGACAACATTAGTTTGTCCGACTAAAAAAAAAAAGGACCAGAAATAAATAAGACACTTAGAGGGCAAAAAGACAAATGTTCCAATTTGCATGAAGAAAAATCTACGTTCCAGAAGAACACAACTAACGCGAATTCATCAGGTCAAAGCCTAAAAATAATCAACAAATCGTACAAGGGTCCCAAAGCACCCAAAAATTATATATCAACATTTATCCATTCCCTAAACGCCGACGTAATCTTACGTATCACACAACGTCATTTTTCATAGCATAAAAGTCCCAAGCCAAGAGACTACAGGCAAAAGTCCGCCAAATTGTAAATAAACGCGACTTCAGAACAGTTCTATTCAGAATATGTTCTAAACTCAAAACCTCTTGTTGGTACCTAATTTGGCTGCAATCAATTAAAAAGTGGCACGTGGAAAAATAAACGAGGGCTAAAATATGTAATAAATAAATAACAAATAGCAGGTTCGCCGAGCTGATTATTTAATAACAACCTAATCCTCAAACGTCACGATCACCCGTACCCGAGTCGATCGGCATTTAATGTCATCAGTTCGACCCAGATATAATAAAGAAGCCGTCTTTTGAGGACGCACACTGTCGACAAGACAGACGTCTATCGAAGCTGTAAAGTATCATAATTGGGCCCCACGCAATCACACCACATTAAAATATCATTTGTATTATTTAATTATTCATTACTTCATGTCCACATGATTTGCCAAATGTATATTTGGCAAATCCTGTCCAAAAGAGGGGAATCCCACATTAGCCAAAGAAATCTCGGAAGAGAGAGAAAATAGCATTCTTCCCAAAATATCAATGAAAATAAGCTTCATATGCATTCTTTCTGATTCTTGCTTTCAGATTGTTTTATTCATATATTCATCTCACAACAGATATATATATATATATATATATATATATATATAAATCACGAATAGAACAGTTATTCAACCCATATTTCCAGAACAAAACTATTCGTGCAGATTGAACAAAGTACACAATTTAGTGTACAGTTCAACCCATGTTGCTGACATATTTTAGCATCTAACACCTGATCCTACCCTGGGCTTCACTATTTATAGCAATGGCCAAGTAAGGAATGGTTGTGTGCTACTTTTTAGCTACAGAATTCAACTCGAAAGTTCGTTCAGCAAAAGATCGAGATGATGGAGTCATCCCCGAGAACTATTGGTATTTAGATATAAATAATAATAAATAAATGCACTAAATAAGAAAACTTGCTATTTATGGAAATAAAATCGAGCTCCACAAATACTAAAATAATCGGGGCGTTACAACTTTTCTCTATGGACTAATATAAATTTTAATCCTATGTGTTGGCCATCTATATTATAATTATGTTCTTGTAGCATCTTTTGTTTTTGTTTGTATTTTCTTATACAATTTACAGTTATATTAATAATATTAAAATATTGTAAATATGATAACTAAATAAATTGAAATATTGTAAGTTTCCTTTTATATTTATTTTACAAAAAAAAACTACAAACGTAAATTAATAAATAACTATGAGTTGCACAATAGGTTAAGTTAATAAATAGTGAGTTGCAATTAAACATTGGTACAACCCACGGTTGCATTTAACTGAAGATGTATATATATATATATATATATATATATATATATATATATATATATATATATTTATTAACAGACCACCGACTGCATTTAAACTCATATATCATATTAATAGACCACTTAGTGCATTTAAAACTATCCTATTAACTGAAGACTACTGAATACTCATACTTCGACATACATCCATCGGCAGGAATTAAATTTTGCAGTGGAATCGAGCAACATATTTCCATGGGAATTATAATTTAGCATTTCGAGTGATGTCTCCAAAATATGATTGGATTTGAATTAGCAGCATACTTCAATGGGAATTACAATTTAGCATTATTTGTTAAGTTTCCAAAAATAGCATACGAGTGAAGTCTCCAAACATAGGAGTAGATTTGAATTAGCAGCATACTTTCATGGGAATTACAATTTAGCATTACTAATGAAGTCTCCAAAAATAGGATTGGATTTGAATGATCGGCCAGAGTCTCCAAAAATCTTAAATTCCTTGTATGGCAAGAATGGTAATTTTTAGAATAGTTGATGGGAAAATGAATACGGTAAGAGCAAATATAAGTTTTTTTTTTTTAATTTTTTTTTACTTTTCACCAATACATATCTGATGAATAATTTGATTATTATATACAAACACAAGAATGTAACTCTAAGGAGGAGGCATAGATATCACAGCTGGACTTGAATAAGGTACCAACATATGACGGGGATGAGGCATCAATATTTTTGTTGCACTTGAACAAGCTACCAACATATGACACGGGTTTATCTCAGCGGCACAGGAATATCTTGACTTGAATAAGCTGCAAATATATCATTGGTTCATCTCAGCGGCACAACAACAAGAGAAGGCTCAACGAGTTGTACTGGGGATTACGTTGAAATGTTAAATATATTTGTTCATATTTTATTTGAGGATATAAAATGATTAATAGCTTGTATTGATTGTACTTTGATGTTTTATCACTTGAAATTTTTATTATTGTACTCTTGGACGACAAAATAATTGTATTTTACTTTATTTTTCTTTAATCTTGCTTGCTTATTGTAAGTGGTATTAATGAATTAATTTGATGCAAAAGAAATATACTGAAAACTGCACTTGATGAAAAACGGAAATTTATGCCATTATATTGTAATTGCCACTAATATAAAGATATTAAGAATGAGCCAATCCATTACAAATTTGGTAGCTCAAATGGGACACCGAAACGATGATTTCGTTTCTATTACTCAAATAGTAGAAACGGGTTGCTTGTTACAAAATCCGTAAGTGATAGCAACGGGAACGAATCCGTATCTGAGCATCAACACCCTTGTTTTAAGAGCATCAACACCTTTGTTTTCACTCGCTAATAATATAACGAAATATACTTGTTGCTATTGTTTATTAGTAACAAAAATCTGACTTGATACAACTAATAATATAACGGAATATACTTTGTTTCTATTGTTTATTAGTAACAAAACCTGCCCTCCTTTACTAAAGTCTCAGTTTCTAGAAGTGTGTAATCCAACAAGAAACAAGAGTTTCTTCGAACATGGGGAAAAATAGTAACCAAGATTATGAAATTTAGCGCAATCCAGCGGTTGATCAATACCTATTCAGCAAACCACACACCCACAATAACTAACGTAACAGTAGTCGCCCAATGTTAAAAATGAAACTAAAAAGAAATAAGCCCGTAAATAGTCAAATCATGGAACACTAAATAGCAGGACTAACAGTATCATGTGCAACTTCATAAAATCCAATGCAAAATCCAACCCAGTTGAATGCTGAAATATGCAACTACAATTTTTGTCAAAATGAAGATATTAATAATGTCACCAGCATCGAACGAAGATCTTAAACAAAGATGCAGCTTCAATCACCATCATCCCAAGCCACTTAGCCACATATTGGTAGACTTTGGACAAATCAATTTTCTAGCAAAGCACGAGCACAACAATGATGCATATTCAAGGATATAACAAAACAGCATGCTTCAATAATCAATTCAAGTCGTCATCGATATCAACACTAGCCTTTGCCCGATATTGTCTGCAGAGTTTGCCTGAGCTTCCCCCTTTCTCAGCCGCCCTGCAAGGCTCATCCTCTTCCATAGCACACACCTCGCCCTCCTGATCATTCTCTGCCGTCACACCAACCGACCACCTCTTGCTCCTAACATTATCATCTCCCGTGCTATTCTCGCTCTCAATCCTCGTCCCGCCAGAACCTTTCTCCCCCTTTTTCCTCCTCGGTGCAAACACCACAGTTTTTGGAGTCTCAACGAGCATATTGTCCATTTGTGGCCCCACATCTCTTCTCCTCAAGGTATCAAAAAGGTCTGAGTACGCTTTCTGGTTAGACTGGTCGTCCATATCATCAGATGAGTCAAACGAATATCGCGTGTACTTGGAAGGGTTCCTGAGATAATCGGGCACACACATAGAAGGATTGGATGCCTGTGGATAATCCTTGGCCTCAAAATGCTCTGATGACTGTTGGTCTTCAGGAGCCTGGATAGAGCTTTTAACGTCAAATGCAAACCTGACACGTTTGTCTGACCGGCAGTCATGCGGATTCTCTCTTCTTTTGAGGATCGATTTGGTATTATTATTATCATGATTATCACAGCCTGATTCACTTTGTTGTTTAAGATCTTCAATCTCTTCTATTGTTGGGGCCAAACTATTAGATGGCTGTGAAGTGCTAAACTTGCTGGCGTCTTCGGCGTCTTCATTGAGCCTCATCTTGGCAGCCTCATGATTTGCGCGGGGATCCTTCACGACAGCCTGGAACAAGCCCGGAATCACACTGTATTCAGAAAGTTCGTGAGATTTGTAATCAGCAAATTTCACGTCCCTCATGTACAGGCGGTCACCGGCCTGCTCCATGCCAACCGCCAGTTTATCATATTGGTCTTCCTCTTCCTGAGTACAAAAAAATAAACAAGACAACGGGAATGTAAGTTGAACTCCATAGTAAGGAATTACAAGTTATTTTCAATTGTCAGCGTAACAAAATATGCATTGGCGACTATGAGTCGATGATATCCTTCTTTAACACTCCAAATTTGTTGTATGCAATTTATAAGGTTACATGTGCTCATGGACACCAAGTACAACATCAACTCTAGTATACATGTGCCAAGAACATTTACACATTTAGGTGTACACAAGCATCATTTTATATTATTATTATTATTATTTGAGAAATTAAATTGAATGAAAGCAGCACCCAAAAGACTGAAAGGGCGAATGAAGGAGCCACGTGAAAAGGGTAATCAATCTATCTTTGAATTAGAGTCCCCTACGTCTTTGGAGCTCTAGCTAAAGTTCACATATCACAATGTCTTTTGAGTACCTCCACTCAAGCAAACAACGGCAATGCAGTTGACATGGTTTTCAACTAAAACACAACATCTCCATTAAGGAGGAACAACTACCATCAAGGATCCATTTCCAATGTCACGAGATTTTGAAAAATTTGAGGATGCTTCAAAGTTCTAAAACAACATATTTGTCACAGAAAAACTATTGTCCCATCGGAACCCACAAGTGGAGCCCTCAAACATCATGAATGGTCAGTCGTACTTATGCTCACTGTCAATTCAAATGTTAATCGCCTCCTTTTCACGATTTACACAACTAGATGAATGGCACAAGCTTCCAGATCTCATCAATAAGTGAAAGTGATATAATATTAACATATACCAACATTACCCAGCATTACCAGGATTCACGTTCGCATCACTATTGAGACTTAGGGTAAATGCAAAAAGAATATGTAAATAAGGAAGGCAGTTAAAATCAAATACCTCATAATCAAGAGTGCAATCGCGACCAATATTTAATTGAACATCAAAATAGTCATCATGACTAGCTTCAGCACAAGTGATATTGTTCCGAGGCCTTTTTTTCTTACCACCATCAATCTCCCCATCGTCCTCCGTTTCATCTTCTTCGTAATCACTCAGATCCTCAGTATCTAAACCGAGTGTTTTCTGAAAAACGGGCGGAGCGCCGCCATCTTCATCTTTTCCAGCGTATTTATCCTTGCTGCTGCGTTTCCACTCTCTCCTCTCGATTTCTTCGTCCCCGAGGCACCACAAGGAAGAACTCTCGTCCAGAGACGACAACGTATTCCGGCTGCCCAGGGTGCCAAACACTTTATCTGCGCGAACCCTGAAGCTGTCCTCCATGGATATTTTTCCTTTCGTTTCGATACACCTTCGTCTTCGACGTTTTTTTTTTTTTTTTAATTAATTTTCCCCCTTGGGACGGCAATTTTGTTTATTTTTAGTAGCAGTAGATGGCGGTGCTGCAAGCCTGCAATTGATAAATCACGTGTGAAAGTACATATACACCCTTCAGGTTTGGATTTAATTTCCGATGTTGCTCCTCGAGTACTGACGAGAGCATCTTTCTCAACTGAAAACGTTACTCTCTTGGGACCTTCTCTTGTACCTATTTAACATGAGCTATCCTTCTGTTTTATCATTAGATTGAGCAAAAAAAGGAGATCAACGGTGGATTCAAGGATACAAAGCAAAAAACAATTTTGTTAGAAATATCTGAAATAATTATAATGAGATATTTTTATTTATTTTTAAGCCCATATGTGTATCTAATTTATATAATAATTCTACAAATACAAACACAATTCATCACAACCTAAAATATAGTATACGATTTGAAATTCTTTCTTCTTCGTTGTTCAATTTCTCTCTAGTGGTGGATTTGATTTTTCCCCTCAAGCCCTAAAATTTTCCCCAATCCAACCCATTGCTTTCGATTTGAATGCCCCCTCCATGGTCGCCGCTGCCGCCGCCGCCATCCTCCCGATTACCTTCCTCCTCCGCCGTCGCCTGAATCCCTTCCACCGTCCCCACCGTCATTCGAGCCCAGCCGCTCCAAAATCCAGGTCCTGGTCCGGTCCTTCTGGTCGGAGAATATGGACCACGAATTTTCCCTGATCTGCGGCCTCGTCGACCAATTCCCCTTTGTCTCCATGGATACCGAGTTCCCCGGCGTCGTCATCCACCACTACCTGCACTACTCTGACCCGGGCGACCTCTACCAGACCCTCGAGTACAACGTCGATGCATTCAAGCTCAGTGGGGATCACCCTCTCCGACGCCGCTAGGAACCTCCCCGGCCGCCGCTTCATATGGGAGTTAAATTTTAGCGACTTCGACATCTCGAGCGACGACTACGCGCCAAATTCCATCAACCTCCTCCGCAACCAGGGCGTCGATTTCGAGCACCCCCGCAAGTTCAGTGTGGGTTCCGCCAGGTTTTAAGCACACCGGCAAGTTCAGTGTGGGTTCCGTTTGGTTCGATCCAAGAAATTCCGGCCATCAATGGCGAAGATTGGGGATTCTGATTTTCATATTCCACTGTTTGGACTAAAAGCTCTCTAAGTACCCAGAAGAAGAAGATCATAAAGCCAGATGTGAGCGGTAAGTTCATGTTCCTGATCTATACATCTATGCGTGATTATTATTTAGTTTGTCGTTGCATAATTGCTTTGATAGGGTTTTTATACACCATGGATTGATTGTTCGTGCTATTTGCTCTGCCGGTTTGTCGATAGTTTTGATTTAAGATATAATATGTTAATTGGAGGCGGGCTGCACATTATTTTGGAATGGAATTGAATCATACGAAAATAAGTGCTCGACCTTTTCATGGTTTGCTTATCTATTTGTGTGTATGTGTGATTTTTGTGTGTTGGTTCATATGTTTGTGAGCTTTGGGATGAGTTCTGTTTTTTAGCATGGAGCTTGTAGATAATAATAGTGATGAAAGATTAGAGTTCTTGATTTTTTGTTTTGTGTGATCTAATAGTGAAAATTTGTCTATTATTGTACAGTGTTGAATGTTGATGTATTGTTGTGTATTTTTCTTTAAGTGGGTTATACTCGAGGCTTGTCTGTTTTTTAGTTCATCATCAACTGTAAATCAATAGATTTTTTTTTTGAAGTCCTTATATTCTGGTTCTCCAAGGTTTTGTTTAACTTAACTATCTGTATTGTTGATTTTGGGTTAGCATTTTCTATCGGTTTTAATGTGGATTATTCATAAATCTCCCCATGGTATACGATTTTTGGTGTCTGTAGAAAATTTGATTTTTAGGAATTGTTAATTGTTTTAATGGGTAATAAAAAAGAACAGAACATTAGTTTTGAAGCTTCACATGTTGTTAATTGATAATTACTTAATGGAAGTAAAATCTCTTTCACCGATATTCTAAAGCAGACAAATCGACACGAACTATTGTTGTGCCTATTTGATTGGAATTTTGAGCTATCTGTTGCCATTCAACCAGACTTCAGGTACAAACTGCTCGATCATGATATACTCGGCCTGCGATTGAATAGATTGAACGTGAAAGGAGATAAAGGTGGGATGAAACCATTTGAACTGGATAGCTCTAATCCTTTCTCAACAGCTGCTCCCGCTATTGCTGTGCGCGTGTGATTCAAACTGTATGCTGCTGCCCTAAAGGAATGGGAGGACAATGATGGTGATTCTGTTGGGGATTAGTTGTTTGATGTGTCGGTGGCCAGAATGCTCAGGGTGTTCGAGAGGGCGATGGAGGTGGCGGTGGAGAGGGATCCGATGGCGGTGTACGACAGAGTCGTCTTGTGCAGGCTGTTGTTGTACAAGAATCAGGGTTGGGCTGGGAAATGAGGGATGGTGGTGGATCCTTCAGCTGGCGCCACAAAATGGTTTACCCAGTAATGTGGCGTGAAATTTATAACTGTTTATTCTTGTAGTCACCGTAAAATTTATCAAATAATGTGGAGCCTTTTTTTTACTTGCTTTGTTATATCCACGAAAATGTTTATCAAATAATTCGGAAAAA